AGCAAACTATTGCAAGAACAGAAAACCAAATTCCGCATGTTCTCACTGATAGGTGGGAACTGAACAGTGAGATCACTTGGACACAGGAAGGGGAACCTCACACACCGGGTCCTATTGTGGGGAGGAGGGAGGGGGGAGGGATAGCATTAGGAGATATACCTAATGTAAATGACGAGTTAATGGGGGCAGCACACCAACATGGCACATGGATACATATGTAACAAACCTGCATGTTGTGCACATGTACCCTAGAACTTAAAGTATAATTTTAAAAAAACCCTTTAGACGTTCACGATTTACATATTTTATGAAAAACTACACTTAAAAAGCAATTAGACAAATACATTGTTTTACATTTTTACAACTGTTTTTAATGTTTGGCTTCACAAAAAAAACAGCGGGACATTCGTATCTGATTCTTCACTCACACATTTGTGACAGGTGGTTTCACTGAAGTCCAGGAAGGGCATCCAGACCCTCACAAATGTGCACAATGGCTGAAGAGAGGAGCACTGCTTTTCACTTTCCAGAAATTGTAAATATTTTTCTTTGATATTGCACCCAAACTCAACAAATGGTAGTTTCTTAAAGATTAGTTTCAATGCGGCATCTGAAACCACATCAATGAACTTCTCCTTTTCTGTACATTTGTGAGAGGATAAAACCCGGTCCCATTACTCTTCTTACGAAAACACTTCTGACCCTGTGGATCTCCGGAAGGGAGTTGGGGGACCCCCAGAGAGGCCCCAGCTCGGAGAACTGCTTTTCTAGGCCAGGGCCACCCGTTTCCCTGACGACGCGCCGACCGCCACCACCTGACCACACGGGTCCCTCTACCCCAGGGACACGTCCAGGCACCTGCTCTTCCAGATCAGACCTGATCCTCCCCAGTGGGCTGCCTCGGCAAAGAGACCTGGACAGCCCCAGGCCCCAAATAGCCAAATGTGGAAACCCCATGGCCAGGCCCAGATCACCCGGGACCCCCCAGATGTAGGCTCCATCTTCTCCCCGATGAGGCTAATGGACAAGCAAGGAAAGACAGGGTCAAAAGTGACACAGTCCTCAGACAACTTTAAACCAGTGCCCCATCCCAGCCTTTAGAGCACTACGGTTTGCTTTGCTTTGTTTTTTAAAAACTTCGGTTATCTTGTACTTTGCAGCCACACCGCCCCACACGGGTGTGGAAAGCACTATTCTGTTCAGAGTAAACATTTAAATACACTTTACAGGCTGAACGTGGTGGCTCACGCCTGGAATTCCAGCACTTTGGGAGGCCGAGGTGGGCAGGTCACCTGAGCTCAGGAGTTTGAGACCAGCCTGGGCAACATGGAGAAACCCCATCTCCACTAAAAATACAAAAATCAGCCAGGCGTGGTGGCAGGCACCTGTAATCCCAGTTATTCAGGAGGCCGAGGCAGGAGAATCATTTGAACCTGGAGGGTGGAGGTTGCAGTGAGCCGAGATCGCGCCACTGCACTCCAGCCTGGGCAACAAAGCGAGACTCCGTCTCAAAAAAAAAAAAAAAAGAGATCTGTGAAAATTTGGCTTTTATGTGAACTTACTAGAAGTCCAGGAACAAGTCAACTCTCTTCCCGTGCCTCAGTTTCCTCGTCAGTACCCAACAGAGGTGTCGGACAGAGCGACCGCCTCAGGTAATTTCAACGCCTGATTCTGACCCTGCTGAGTTACACGAGGGAGGCGAGCGAGGCGAGGGAGGCGAGGGAGGCTGCTGGCTGCTCCCACGTGGGAGGTGGGAACGGAGCCCCTCCCCAGCCCAGTCCACAGGACAGAGGCGGCGGCCACAAGAACTGTATCCTCCATGTCTCCACCCTTCTCACTGCTGTAGCTTCCGGGCAAAGGAGCCACAGAGCCAGACGCTGCAGAGGTCAAGGGAGACGGAAGGATGTCGCCTCCAGGGCTGGGGCCACGGGCAGTGGCAGGGCAGGTTCAGTCGTCGATGGCAAGTCTGTGGCTGACCACGCACGCTCACAGGGGTGGCCTCGAGCAGAGGTCGGACATGAGAACCCAGGAGAATTCGGGCCCCGGCTGCGGGACGGCTGTGCACCCCCACCCTGGCCGTGGCTGGCACCTCCGAAGGCACAGCTGTCCTTCACTCATACAGAGCAACCTTGGGACAGATGGTGCGAGAGGAACGGCAACTCGAGGAGGCACATTTTAGGAACCTGCCCACGGAGCCAGCTTCGATTCTCCAAACCTCTTCAGCCTGCACTGGCTGCCAGCTCCCTGACTCGGCACGGAGGGCCTCACCAGCCAATCCCCATGCCCCGCACCCGGCACCCCCTTCACCAGGGGGCAAACTGTGCTCACCACCACCCAGCGCTCACCTCCCGGGCTCGGATGGATGGCAGGGAGTCTGACCCTTCTCTCTTAAGAGCAGTGCCTTGTGCGTTAAACAGGGACTGTGCCCTTGTACTGATACACGGCCATTTGTCCTGAACAAAAATTAAACTGATGAGGGAACAAAATAGGGCCTTATAGAAGGTGAGTGGAAAAGCAGGGAGGGCAAAGCCCCAGATTCGGGAGGGAGGATGGAATCGGCCTGGGGAGCAGGGGCAGGAGGTTCTGTGGACGGGGCTGGTGGAGCTCTGAGGGGAGAAGAGGCAGGTTCTGTGGACGGGGCTGGTGGAGCTCTGAGGGGAGAAGCGGCAGGAGGTTCTGTGGACAGGGCTGGTGGAGCTCTGGCCAATTCCTCAGTAAACTAGAGAGACGTGATCCCCAGGGCCAGGTCTGTCTCTGAGGTACTCCCAGCTGGGACAGGTAAGAGGCCAGAAGAGAAGTGTGTGTGTGTGCGCGCGCAAGCTGCGTGTGTAGAGTGCGTGTGCACGTGTGTGCGCGTGTGTGTGTGTTGCATGGGTGTTACGTGTGTTCCGTGTGTGCGCGTGTGCACGTGTGTTGCACGTGTGCGCGCATGTGTGCGGGGTGTGTGCGCTTGTGTGTGCGTGTGTGTGCAGAGTGTGTGTAGGGTTGTGTGTGTAGGGGGTGTGTGTGCGTGTGTGTGCATGTGTGTGTGCAGGGTGTGTGTGTGTGCATGTGTGTGTGCGCACGCGTGTGTACATGAGCATGTTCGACGAGCCCACAGGCCAAGGCCGCGGCTGGGGAAGGCAGGCCCATCAAGGGGAGGGGGACATCCCTCCCAGGAGCCCGCCCCGAAGTCTTCAGTTCGACATGAAATTTCCATTTCTCCTTCCCCGCTGGACTGTGGCTCCCTAGAGGGTCCCTACGTCGTCCTCCCTCCCTCCCTCCCTGATGCCCAGCACCGGGCCTGCTGCAAAGTAGGTGTTCAGGGAATATCCATTTAATTCAACTGCATTTCATCAGAGAGATGTGGCCTTCCCCAGACAAGGAAGAATTCAGAAAACAACCCAGACGTGCTCAGAGCGGACAGTTGGGCTCTAACCAGGCTCTGAGACTGGTTGGGTCATAAGCCTTTTGTTCCTCAGATTCCCCACGGGCTCGTCAGCCTCACGGCAGCTCCGCCTGACAGCTGGGCTCGCTCCTGGCTGCGGGCTGGTGCCCCCCGAGCCTCCTCTGGGAAGCTGAGACCTCCTGGTGCCACCTCGACCCCGCCGGGCGACAAGCTGAGCAGAGGCTGCACTCAGGCCGGCCGGCCCGGCAGGCAGATGCTCCTGAGTCCCTGGTAAAACCCCACAGTACGGGACTAGGAGGGCCCAAGGGGAACAGGGAGGGGAACACGAGTTGCCTGGTGATAATTTCCTCAGAAAATTCCTAGGGGACAGAGGTTCATCAGCTCCAGGCAACTTCCTGAGACAGATCCATAAACACAACCCCTTCCTCCAGGGGGATGCAATTCTCTCTCTAAAGTCGAGAGCTCACCACCCCGGGCGTCAGTCACTGTGGACATCACCGCAGACACCACCCCGGGCGTCAGTCACTGTGGACATCACCGCAGACACCACCCCGGGCGTCAGTCACCGCAGACACCACCGCAGACACCACCGCAGACACCACCCCAGGCTTTAGTCACTGCAGACACCACCGCAGACACAGAGATGGCCATGAGAGTTCACCACCCCAGGCGTCAGTCACTGCAGACAAAGGCCGCAGCCGCAGCCACAGCCATTATGCAGCCTCACGCGGTCGCTCCTGGGGGCTGTGGGATATTCATCCCAAAAAGAAAACACCTTAAATTCAGGCGCCAGCCACCCCCATGGCAACTCTCAACATCTTAATGTGGCACCTTCCAACCTTTCCTAGGCATTATGTACAAACCTTAAATAAAACTGGGTTCTTACTACATACACTGCTTGCTGGTTTTTGTAACCACATTGTACTTTTCCCACACTATGAAAGTTATTTAACAATAGGATTTTAAACGGTAACTTGGTATTCTGAATACAACAGGCTTTACCATCTTCCTGTGGGGAGCACATGAATTGTTTCCAATTTTCCTCGTACACTTTTTAAGTGTATTCTTTGAGATACCTTTTCCACAGCCACGTTCACAGCCACTCAGAGCTGTCCGCGGCAGGCCTCATGCTTGCCCTCTCCAAAGTGCACCTAGAATTGTCCGCCACAGAAATTCTGCTGGCGGCAGCCGCGTCTTGGGAGCCTAATCTGTGGCTCTCCGATTAGATGGTTTCAATAAAGTCACGATCCTCTAGTCACAAAAAACAAACAAACAAACAAACAAACAAAAGTCTCTTCTTCGCAAACAGTTGCATCTACTGACAAGAAGCCTTCTATCTCCTCAGCAGCAGTTGTGGGCTCAGAGGCTGGTAAAGCCAGCGCCGGCTTGAGAGCCCCGAGTGACCCCGTGGCTGGGGCCAGTCACGTGACCCTCCTCCAGCGACTGTTCTCAGCCCGCCTGCGGGTCCCGAAAACGTGCCTCGGGAGCTCGTTCCCGTCCGCACTAGGACGCAGCGTGAATAGTCATCACTCCAGGAAAACTGGCTCAACCCTGACCTTCCAAATCCCGCCACAGCCTCAGCACAGTGAGGAAAGCACCAGCCGCCTGCAGCCGTCAGTCTCTGACACACATCAGACTGAAAGACACATCCGGGGGCAAAACCACCTGCCTCCAAGAAGCCTGGAAACACCCCGGAGTCCCCCGCGTGTCTGCTGCGGCGGGACAGGGACAGGGACAGGGACGGGGACGGGGACGGGGACAGGGACGGGGACGGGGCGACCATCCCACCACGTGCGGCTTCTTCTCTCCACACCTTCCCCCAGGCCGCGATCGCTCCCCACCTTACACCCTGGCATTTTCACCGCCTCGATCTCGTTTCACGGACACGTTCGGATGTAACTGAGCCTTCACACTCCCTCGGGTGCGGCACGAACGAGCGCGCTTTTGTCCAGCCACAGGGCCCCACCCGTGGGGAGAGTGGGCAGCAGATCCCAGCTCCTGAGACCCGCGTATCTGCTTGGCCGGGGTCTGCCTTGAAGTCACGCGCATGAGAGACCCCCAGAGAAACGCATTCCCATGGGCACGGCCACGCTGTGACTCGGGGGCGACGGTGGCAGAGGAGGCCGGGGGATGAGGGAGCAGGTGTCCGGCACAGACCGTCTCCACGGTGAGAATGAAGGAAATGATGCCCGGCGCACAGTGGGTAAGAGGCGGCGGATGGAGGGGCTGAGGGAAGCTGCTGTGCCTAGGAGGGACACCCCCATGCAAAGGCCAACACGGGCCACCAGCCGCTGCAGGACACCAGTTCCTGTTGGCCACAGAAAGAGGGCTCAGTTGCGTCTTCCACACCAGGGGCGGCCGGTGCCCTCTGAGCCCAGAGCAGCAGAATGGCCCATAGACTGAGGAGGCGTAATAAATGGAGGTCATAAACCCCCAAGTTTGGTAATAAATGGAGGTCGCAAACCCCCAAGTTTGGTAATAAATGGAGGTCGTAAACCCCCAAGTTTGGTAATAAATGGAGGTCGTAAACCCCCAGGTTTGGGCAGGTACGCTTGTCACGCAGTGTTACCACAGCAACACATAATGGATAAAAATGGCATCTGGCAGATAAAATCCCAACCCTGACCTCAGTGTCCAGAACTATTCAGAGTTTGATTTTCCACTTGTGGTGGAAAGGACAAAAGACTAGACGAGGGAGGCAAACAGGAGACGCGAGAGGCAAACAAAACCCACTCCCCACCCTCCCGGTGCCACAGGAAGTACCCGCGGAGAGGGCCTGGAGTCTCCCCAGGTGCCCGGTGCCACAGGAAGTACCCGCGGAGAGGGCCTGGAGCCTTCCCCGGTGCCCGGTGCCACAGGAAGTACCCGCGGAGAGGGCCTGGAACCTCCCCAGGTGCCCGGTGCCACAGGAAGTACCCCGCGGAGAGGGCCTGGAGCCTCCCCAGGTGCCCGGTGCCACAGGAAGTACCCGCGGAGAGGGCCTGGAGCCTCCCCAGGTG